CATGAGCCGATTGAAGCGAAACCACCATGAAAAACCTAGAACCACTGGACAGCCGTTTCGTCCTAGTATGGGACCCCTCATCAGTGTTCATCCATGATCCCGCCTCGCGAGATTCGAACATAGGACCTATTGGTCTCGCGCACGAGCAGTCAGTCAGTCAGTTACGACGTACGACCAGGCACGTACATGCATCGGTCCAAGCTGCCAAACTTCATTAGCACAGCAAGACGAACACCGGATCCATAGAAGCAGTTAATTCAATGGTGTATTATATAAAGGAAAGATGTTATGTAAGAATATAGTACAGAAAGAAAGAATTAGTCCGTAGAAAGAAATATGTGAAATAATTTTAATCTCATAGTTTAAAAGAAGGAAAAGTGTGTATACACCTAAGCCATTGTAATCGATTTTGAGCCATGTTACCCACAGTCTCCAACCATTGGTTACGATAGTCACACGAACTTCAACCAAATAATTGGCATCTACCAACATGGCTCAGACTTGAAGTTAATAACTTCAAGGACCAACGCTTAATCTCTAGATCACTAAGCTGGCATCCAATAATTTCAATTTATCAAATATATTGACATAATTCTTATGTATTATATCTATTTCTATATCATCTTTGCTTACATTTATTCGTTTTTGGGTTTTTTTTTCTCTTTAAAGAATCGTTTAGCTGATCAATTAAAAGTTGATAAAATGAAAATAATCAAAATTTTATAAACAAAAATTACATTATCTATTAATCACAGTTGACAAGACTATAGAAATTCAATTAATTTTTTCAACAGCTCTTTATCTTCAACAAGAACAACTGAATACAAAGAATACTAGTATACTTTTTTGTATGAGACGTTCTATAGTGTTTGCTTTGTTTGTTTAACTTCTTCTTGTACAAAAATAATTTAACACTTAAGGTAATAGATATTATCTTATTCATGTTTAGTTTCAATGATTTCACTTGGATAGATTTAATTTATGACAATACTGGTACAATTTGTTTATTCTACATTGATTTTAATTAGAAATCTGATGATACACTTATTATAACTTGTGATATGTGTGCCCTGTTAATGTATAACCTAACGACACCGCTAATTAGAGAGCAGTGAATTATCAATCAGACTAATGACGCATAAAACCCTTACGAGCAGTCTAGAGTCCTTATCGGTCCTGCTTCCTGCCTAGCCTAGTCAGTTAAGTCCAGAATACCAATCTTAACTTCTGCATATATAAATCATTTATTTCAAACATACTGGGTTTATATACAAACCAAACATACCACATTGTACCGTAAAATAGGAAATAACATTTGTACAAGATTTAGCCAAATGTGGCTATGAGTGTGGGAGGTAGTGTTAGACCAGAAATAGATTCCAACAGTTACCATTCATTATTCTCATCGAGATATAACAACACTAAGTAGGATAGAATCGAATAAATAATGATAACTATGTATCTTCTAACATATTGGTCTAAAAACAAGCAAAGTAGAAGACGGTGATAATGGAAAGCAAAAGCGTACTTCTTTTTTTTGTAGAAATGGAAGAACGTGACACTTCTAAATTAGTTGTTTAAAAAAGGAGAAGCATTTCATGTCAGGTTATAGGTTGGTCTGGTAATGATATTCGACTAAATGCTTTCAACTATTTACTGTCCATTAAAAGTGACAACGTCAACCTCATTGTTGAATGCTTACAAAATCTATTCGTTTTAGAGAATTATTTGCCAATACATAGCCTTTAGAAGTTATATAATTGATTTATTGGCGATAGTTGTCGAATGACGTTATATTTGTGAAACATAAAACTTATTTTTTTAAAAAACATTTTCAGCTACTGAAAGTTAATTTAGGTTTAGTGTGCAATAAACGTTTGATGACTGTTTCCATGGTCATGACTGTTTATATATAAATAGATCAGTTGTATTGTGGTGTGAGCTACTTACATCCATATAAGTAGTATATAACGATAGTTAGGAAAAGAATATATTTCAGTAGACGATCGAGAAGGAAAGTAACGGGGACTGAAGGCAATCGGTGCAAAAATTCAGGAACAATCATATCTGAGATGATGGACTGGTATTTGCAAAAGAAACATTCAAGTTTGAGACAATAAATTGACATTTTGCAAATGAAGTATTGTACTATAATTTATACACAATCTTTGAGCTGTACAAATGTGACCTCGAGAAACTCCAATCATTTATCAAAGTTAGGAATTAATATGAAGGATTACGATTAAGAACTAAGGCTAGAAATTAGGGTTAGGAATTAGAGTTAAAGTATACCATACAAACTAACATTATCTATAATGCTAAAATCTTACTCAACCATATAGATGAATCAACTCCGCTCAGAAATTCAAGAGCCTCTTTCTTGAATTTGATTGATAGAATATGATCCCATCCTAGAAGTAAGATATTTTACTTAAATGATCCATATTCTTTCTCAGTATATTTAGTGTGATTGTGATAACAGTCAGAATCGATTACTAAGATTAATTTTGTATTTAAACACAAATAAATATGTAACACTGACTCTTCTACGCGTACCTTTTAAATTTAATGAGTTAGAACTTAAAAAGGGTTTTCAAAGCCTAGAATAGTCACCAATTCGCAAATCATCTGAGATTCATTTATTAATACAGATTAGACCAATTAACTGAATTCACTAATGACTCCATCGAGTAAATAAAGATGATCCAAACTCATGACTCGTGATCTCAACTATTAAAATTACTATAATATCCACAAAACCCTTTCTGATATTAATCAACATATGCCACTAGTGACGGTCTCCAAGAGATATTTCCTGGAGTTCTAGGGAGAAGCAGTGACCAGTGGTGTTCAACTGGGTCAGTTGTGAGACAGTAACTCACTGAAGGCAATGGTGGACCGTGACTCAGTTTCGTGGATTGGTTGAAGTTAAATATTAACACCGTTGGATGCCGGCTTAGTGCTCTAGAGGTTAAGCATCCGCGCTCGTGACCGATATGTCCTGGATTGGAATCTCGTGAGTCGAGATCGTGGATGCACACTTCTGAGGAGTCCAATACTATGATGAAACGGTTGTCTATTGCTTTTAGGTTTTTCATGGTAGGCTAGTTTCAATTGACTCATGATCTCAGCTATTATAATAAACAGATTTAATTAAAAAATACAAATGTAAAACTTATCCCTCACCTCCATAGTAAATAATAGATCCTACTTTAAATAATCAGCAATTCAAAACTGCTTGTAGAATTATTAATATTATCACACAGTAGTCAACTAACAACATGCGTAAAACTAATTCGTTCAGATTTTTTAAATGTTTATAAAACTAAGGATTTCATCTGATGGATAACAAATAGGATTGTAATCAAAAGCACGTAGTTTCTCACTGGAATGAGAAAATATCAAACGGTTACATTTAGTCTATGAGTCCAACTCTTTATATAAGCATTTTTAACTTTTAAAATGGCTAACATTGATTGTTTCAGTAACATAGTGAATTACCTAGTAGGGTCATTCAATCCGCACATCACACTACATTAAAATTTGAGAAACAGATTCTGTTGAATTGATTAAAGTTAGACGTTAACACTGTCGGATGCCGACTCAGTGTTCTAGAGGTTAAGCGTATGCACAAGATCGAAGGTAGTGGGCCTGAGTCCCACGTGGTCACTTCTGGGAAATCCCATACTAAGAAATTCGGGTTTTCACTGATGATCTAACACTGATCGGTTCATAATCTTAAAAACAATCTATTTCATTGGTTAACAGGCTGAAATGTTGATGTCTAATTGAACTAGTTTCTATCAGTAGCCTACTAGTTAATATTATGTCATATATAGTGTTATTTAAGTAGAATCTTCGGAGTTATTATATTTTTTATTATCGTATATAACGATTTCCAAACAAGCGATAAAAATCATCCGTAGTTTTTAATGTTATAATACGAAATAATCTGGGATTTCTAATGAGAACTTAATCTAATGTTATAATCGAAACAGGCCATAAGATCGATCTTTACTCGGCTTTTGTGCTGTTGTATAAAAGTGTAAAAGGGGGTACACTAAGGTTTATTGAAGCCTTAGCCATATGAAAATTCAACACCCCCCTATGTGTATTCATCAAAAACAGTTTGTTCTCACCTTAAACCCACACTAGTAATATTGGCTTATTATCCAGAGTGATTAGGTTTCAAATGGTGTTCACATTATTATTATCACTCGGATAATCTTCGTCTAATGTTAGTTTTTTATCATAGTAACTGACATGTAATAGTTATTATTTATCATCAATTTACTGTTACTTAAGTAAACCACTTCATATTCAATCTTTTTCAGTCACACGGAAAATGTTTTGATATTATCTGTTGATTACAGTAGTCTGTAACAAAATATAAAAGGGCCTAACAAGCTCTTTCATTCTACTTTAAAATATCTCGGCAGCACATATACAGAATTTCGATAAGTGATTAAACATACGACTTTCAATTCTAATAGTAAGCGCATGATCTTTAAAACAGGCTATCGTGATTCAGTAATCCATATTTCCAGTTCTAGTTTGTATCCTTTCTAATATACGCTATTAATATTAATAAATAGTTCAAAATTAATATAACTTTCAATGGTTAAGATTGTGAACCAGTTGAAGCTAGACCACCATGGAAAAGCTGGAGTTCAACCAGGTCTGTTGTGAGATAGTAACTCACTGAAGACAATGGTGGATGTGTCGCTCAGTTTCGTGGATTAGTTGAAGTTAGACATTAACATCGTTGGATGCCGGCTCAGTGGTCTAGTGGTTAAGTGCTCGCGCGCGAAACCAGTAGGTCCTGGGTTCGAATCTCGCAGGGGGCGAGGTCGTGGATGTGCACCGCCGAGGAGTCTCACAATAGGACGAAACGGCCGTCCAGTGTTTACAGGTTTTCCGTGGTGGTCTAACTTCAAATGACTCATGATCTTAACCATCGAAATTACTATAATCTCCACAAAACCCATCTGGTTATATAACTTTGTTATAAAAAAAAGTTATGTTTACTACATCCTTTTCATTCAATTCATTTTCATTATAGGCTAATATTCATAAGTAGGAAAAATATGATCAAACAATATATAATTGCTGTTTATCAAAATCTATTACTGCAAAAGAAAAAGAAGTGACTCAAGCTTGACCATGGATACCTTGGAATTACTAAGTATTCATATGAAATGTTTAAAAGATCAATCCAATTTAAGTCTTGGTTCCATCATTAAGCCTTAGCAACAAAGTTGATTATGAATAAATTTAATTCATCATTAATCTAAACATATTTCGATAATGATATTAGAAGACGAAGATTCTCAGAACTATGTGATATATTAGCACAATACATTTCGAACAATCTGGTCACATATACTTGCTAAGAGCATTTATATATAAAAAATAAAAGGTCAACTAGACAGGAAACAGGGTAAGAGGTTCATTGAAGCCTTAGCCATACGAAAATTCAAACCCCCTTTGTGTGTTCAAAAACCTACCATGGTAATATTGACTTATTATCCAGAGTGATTAGGTTTCGCTTTGTGTTCACATTATTATTATTATTACTCTTATCATTATCCTTATCTCTTCTTACCCCGTTTCCAGTCTAGTTGACCTTTTATTTTTATATATAAATGCTCTTAACAAGTATATATGTGACCAGATTTTTCGAAATGTATTGCGCTAATATATCACATAGTTCTGATAATCTTCGTCTTCTAATATCATTATCGAAATTTATCAAAGGGACTAATTGTTCTAAATATATTTGTCATAGGATTCATTTAAAGTGAATAGTTTAAAACACAATATATCATCTTTACTATAGAATGAAAATACATTATCTTAAAGAGAGCAAAAATAAAGATTGATGCAGAATAATAAATGGATTCATTTGTTTTCGTTAGGTTCTCATCAGTCCCTTTACAACCTAAAATATTTAAAATTCAACAGATATTGACATACGTATACATAAGAGGGTGATTAAGGATGAATAAATGTATCATCGTGTAGTGAAGATTCCGATAGAGTTAATGAGGCCATAACATTTTGTCTCGAATAAATAAAGTTAGAGAGGGAAAGTTCCAAAACATTGAAATAGTGGTTAGAACTCATGAAAATAGATTAATGATAATAAAGAAAATATGAATTGAAATCAGTCAGTTATATATGATGTAATTTAAACTTCAGAAAGACTTGGAATAATGACGCAATAAATAAATGAATAAAAAGGGGGGTTATTGTTACCAGGGTAAAGAAAGTTTTGTTACTGTCTCTTTTTGTATACTTTAATCTATACATTATATGAAGAAGAAGAAAAAAAAAGAGATTCATTCCTCTGATAGTATAAATACTCATCTTATTTTGATTTATTTTGATCATTCCATTCAGTAATTCTAACTTTTGCTCTATCAATTAATTGTTTACCTAATTCAATTTGTTTCTGTTTTATTTTATTTAAATAATCTTTATTAGAATAGTTTATAGATAATTCAAACAGTAACTTTTGTATAATACCATCTAATTCTATTGGATTTACTTCAATGATTGCATTCAATTCATCTAAATTTAATGTATCAATAGAAGTAAGATATTTGAACATTGGATCTAATTCTTCTTGTTTTACTTCATCTATTTGAATTTCTTTTACTGAAGATATAGATTGTTCATTTTGTTTCTCATGTTGCTCTTGTTGTTGTTGTTGTTGTTGTTGAATTTCTTTCGGAATATCATCTGGTTTGAAAATTTTTAACCATTTAGTTACTTTTTCAGGAAATAATTCAGAATATTTTGAAATAAATTTAAGTGGAATAGCTTCAGATAATGGAGCTGGCCATACAGAATCTGTTGATGTTTCAAATGTTTCCAATAATGTATCAAAATAAAGTGGACAAGGAATTTTTATCTATCATAGAAGAAATAAAATAAGAATATATATTGTATTTGAGATTAATAATCACTGGTTGAAATCATGAGTCAATTGAAGCTAGACCACCATAGAAAACCTGGAAGCACTGGTTAAGCGCCAGGCGCGAGACTGATAGGCCGTGGGTTCGAATCTCGCGGGGGGCGGGATCGTGAATGCACACTGCTGAGGAGTCCCATACTGGGACGAAACGGTCGTCCAGTGCTTCCAGGTTTTCCATGGTGGTCTAGCTACGATTGACTCATGATTTCACCCAGTAAAATTTATAAAATCTCGACAAAACCCATTCTGAGAAAGATTATTGTTAAGATGGGATGAAAAAAACAAGAGATCAAATTGTGATTCAGTATAGTCATTGTTCAGCATAACATTCATCTTATTTCAGTATAACGTTTTGTGGCAATTTTGTGTAAAATCAATTTTGTATTTCATCATATTTCGGTTATTTGTGATATTCACTGACTATTTATCAAATATTAATATCTGTTCTCGTGATTATAACATGCAGAAAAATACAACTGCTTAAAGTAGATAATTTTAAATTACCATGTTTTTAAAGAATAGAGATCGTCTCCAAGAGGCATATCCTGGAGTTTTAGGGAGAAGTAGTGACCAGTGGAGTTCAACTGGGTCAGTTGTGAGAATGTGACTCACTGAAGACAATGGTAGACCATGACTCAATTTTGTGGATGCCGGTTTATTGCTCTAGAGGTTTAGCATTCGCACTCGTCACCGATATGTCCTGGATGCACACTGCTGAGGAGTCCAATACTATGATGAAACGGTTTTCTAGTGCTTTTATGTTTTTCTTGGTTGGCTAGCTTCAATTGACTCATGAATTCAACGTTTAAATTACTATAATATCCAACTTCGGTTCTTATTACCAACCAGAATAGCGAGTACATGTATCACAACTGTAGAAAATGAATATTTGGAACACGAAAACACTGTGATTTGTACAATTCAAGGAAGAAGCGAAAGTGATGGCACATGAAGGTTTTCTTCAACTAAATACTCTTATTTGTATATGTATATATAAATCACAAATAACCGGAAGAGGTGAACTACAAAATCGGCTTTATGCAAAATTATCGCAAAATGTATCCGGCATGTTATACTGATTGAAATTTACACCAAATTCAGATAAAAGAATGTCATACTATTTCAAAAAGAATGTTATTGTAGATAAAAATCACACTGAATTAAAATATGACCTGGTTGGGGTCCACGAGATGATAGCAGCCGATGGTTAAAGACCTTAAATGACATTGCTCGAAATCGTTTGCAATGGCACAGATACATCCACTCTTTGTGTTCTTCCAAATAATAATCTCCTTAACTCTTCTTGTCTCTTTTTTTCTCTTTCCAAATTTATTTCACTGGATTATACTCCTTGAATAACATCTTCAAACACCAATGTTTCCAATTACTGCTTATACTTTTACTACCTCTACCACTACGGGATTTGAATCGACAATTGTTTCTGTGTGCTAATGTGGTATGGCAACTCGAACTGATGTACGTACGTACGTACGGAGTTCTGCGTTGTTGACTGACCGACTGACCGTCCCAACATTCAGTAATAAGTATATAAATTATATCTGTGAAAAGACATTAAATTGACTAGACCATATAACGATAACAATTATAAAATCTTTGATTATTGATTCAAGGTGTATAGATAGTTCTTCCTGACCTCTTGTTTAGGAAATTCAATATAATATAAATCGAAATTTGAAAAATATCATGATGGACTGAATGATTTTATTCTTCTTTCAACTTCAGTAATTTTCATTACATACTATTTGTTTTCTCTCTTTATAGTGTATTATTTTGATTTTTTAGCTGTCTTATTGTTGGGGACGTTAGATCCCCAGAACTCACTTCGGAAAAAACCTAATTTTGTAATTTTATTTGGGAAATTTGAACTTCTTTATTTTCGCGCCAAAGGAGCTCTTGTCACCTTCATGTCGTATTTCCCATTGGGAAATATCTTAAATGCTATTGGTCCGTTGCGTCTTTTAGTATGCTATTTGGTAACTCTTCCCAAGGACGGTTTCGCACTGTATATGTACATTTTGAATTGTGTTTGTTGTTATCGCTCGTTTTCTGGCTGTTTGTAGAATATACTTCCCCATTCCAAGCTTGGACTTCTCTTTCTAGGTAGCGGGGCTGGGACGCATCAATAGCTAGCTTACTGGTCTTTGGTCACTGAGTCAAGTTTCTCGTTCGCAGATTAAGTGAAATCGTGATAGCTTCAATCCCAGCACTTATTTTTTACTTCTAAGATTTAATGAGATCAATTCGCTGACCCACTTATGAACTACTTCGTTCATTGTTATTTATGTTCAGCTATTTACATTATTTTACATATTTCGAAATTGACATCAGCTTCATCATCTTATAATAATAACTCGTACTGTACCATTAGTTTTCAATGCATGTACACCATGGTAACTAACGCGAAATTAACTTTTATTGTATATTTTATTAAATTGTAGACTGTCTAAAACAATCTTGTACAAACCATAATATCATGTAACACTGGAACTTTGGATAATTCTTTGTTGCAATGATTTATTTACAGCTTTCGTTGCTCAATAGTTATACCGACCATTAGTGCTAAATGAAACGAACAAACATTTCAGATGGAGTTATTATTTATTTATATATTTATATATGCGCCACACAAATCATTGGATTTTCATGGGGGCTAGAATACTGCACGGGTGCTAAAACCGAAGTAAGTGGTTTTCTTAGGCGGCCACACTCGGAGCCTTCGACCTAAAGGTTTCATCCACAAGGAAGTGGAACAACGTCAGGAGATGCAGTCCCATGGTGAGCAATAACAGGTTCATACTTCGTTTGTCTCCTCAGGATCCTGGAACTGGTGTGCATCATTAGTTTGGAATCAAAGTTTTCCAACTCTCGTAAGTGGACTCAACATGTGCACTAACTCGGTTAAAGCACCGGACATTCTCTTTTTGTCCACTCAATTCCGTAAACAATAGTAATGTCTCAAGAAGGCAACGAATAGGAATTCTCTGACAGTGACTGTATACACGTGGCCATATGAGAGCATTTGAAGAAGGAGATCTCACTCTCTCTCCACCCTCGATCGTATCAAAGCATTCGAGGACATATCTTAACATACAGATTTTGTTAAAACATTTCTTAATAATTTTATTTAATCACAACTTTTACTCACTTCTTTCATAACTGAAATTACAAACGTTTTACACTGTAAATATTTCTCAAGAATACTAGTTTCACACTTGATCTTACGTTCAAGTTATTAGATCATCTTTAAATCATACTTTTACATAATTAATGATAAATATCAGATCGTAGTAATTTCAATAGTTGAGTCAATTAAAGCTAGACCACTATGAAAAACTTAAAAGTACTGAATGGCCATTTCGTCCTATTGTGCCACTCCTTAGCAGTGCAAATCCACGACCAGGTTTTCTATGTTGATCTAGTCTCAATTGACTCATAATCTCAACTATTTGAATACTAAATAACAAAATGATATATATATTACTTAAGTACATTTTAAGTAGTTTGCTCATATTAGAGAAATATACAACTTACTAATTTTTGATTAATTGCTGTATATGGTCCAAATACTTTCTCTAATAAATGATGTTTATTTAAAAAATTTTTTGAAAAATATTCTATTAATGATTTTGCCGCTATTGAATCAAGATTAAATAAGTAACCGGAAAATTGTTTTTCAAATTGTATAAGATTAATTTCATCATTATTATCATTATCATTATTAATCGGGTTGGACGTAGGTGATAATTGAAATAAGGATTTAAAGAAACGAATTGATCCTATTAAACATGTTGTTTTATTAGTTTTAATTAAATTTTCATTATTTTGATTCATTTCCATTTGATTATTATATAAATGTTTATTTGCTAATTGCCATAATTGTAAATGACGTAATAATATATAAGCCATTGTAAAACTAATGATAATACACATTAATTTTTCTATATTTATATTACTATGATTATTATTATTAGTAGTATTTATATTGAATAATGATTGAAACATTGAATGATGAATTTTATGTTCAATAGAATTGAATTTATTATTTTGATAATTATAAAATTCATGAATCCATTTCGTTGTTGACCATTGAATACATTCAACAAAATAATTGATTAATGCAGAATCCCATAATGATATTTTAAGTTTCAGTTTATTGAAATGATTATTCATTAAATCTATTGTAGAATTTATTTGATTATTTTGTTTATTAATGAATAAATCCGTTTTTATGAAAGAATCAAATGGTAAATTTGGTCTTTGTAATAATAAATTTGATTCTTCTAAATAATTTTGTATTTCTAATTTAAGTTGTTTATCATTATTTAAATGATTGAAAAATTTTTCAGCTTTATCTAATGATAAAATTGAAAATAATTGATCCGTTATTGAGGTATGATCATCAAGTTCAATTTCATTAGGGGATCTTTTATGTTTTAATTTTGGAGTTTTCATTTGGAAATTATGATCTATAATGTAAAATAAATATTATTAAGTTAACAAATATTTATTTCACTAGTTGAAATCATTAGTCGATCGAAGCTAGACCACCATGGAAAACCTAGAAGTACTGGATAGCTGTTCCTTCCTAGTATGGGAATCCTCAGCAGTGAGTACCCACGATCCTGCCACCCACAGGATTCGAACCCAAGACCCATCAGTTTTGCGAGCAAGCACTACTACCGAGCCGGCATCCAACTGTGTTAATGTCTAACTTCGGCCAATCCACAAAGTTTCGCCACCGTTCACGATTGTCTTCGGTGAGCTGATATCTCACAACAGAACTGGTTGAACTCCATTGGTAACGGCTTCAGTGGTCTAGTTGGTCAAGCGCCTGGCGCGAGAATGATAGGTCCTGGGTTCGAATCTCGCGGGGTGCAGGATCGTGGATGCGCACTGATGAGGAGTCCTATACTAGAAGGAAACGGCCGTCCAGTGCTTTCAGGTTTTCCATGGTGGTCTAACTTCAATTGACTCATGATTTCAATCAGTGAAATTTCTAAAATCTCCACAAAACCCCTTCTGAAAAAATTTATTTACAATGTTTAAATTTCAATTCAATCATGTGATATGTGCTACTCTTATTGACTTAAGGAATATATGATGCAAATCAGGAATATGTCTAGCAGAAGAAGATTATAAAGATTAAGAAAGGAAGAATTGGAATAGAATGTAATTAGTATGTAATGTAAAAATAATGAAGTACGAGACAATTATTGAATATTTTGCATATAAAGTGTTATAGTATGTTTTTTTCTATTTTACCAAATAATTGCGATTTTTTGCTACATATGTAATTCGGTTGTCCTCACCTGTGTTCTCCTTCACTACAATAACAAGACTATACGGATATTTTCTGTTAACAGATGTGTTAAATTTTACATTTAATTGATATAAAAGGTAGGAATATACTAATCTCTAGCATTATATTACAGACAAATCATACAAACAAATTGGTTTGACATTCATAACTACATTGTCAGTTAAAAGGTGTGTTAATATTCACAGTCAATTAAAAAAATGTAAACATGAAATTGTAAAGCTATATGCTTGACTTTATTGAGTTTTACATAGTGACAATAGTTCATAAGAAACTTAATGTAAACAAAATCTTAAAGTTTGAAAACTTCTCTGGTGTATGAGTTGGCTGTTCAACTTTAATGTGGACGTTAATAATACTGCGTGTCATAAAAAGTACCTCCAAATGTGATCGACAAATAACAATTCTGAAGATTTTCAACTTGCATGCAACAATCCCTATAGATTCCTCACTGCGTCTTGTTTTCCTGATTGAAAATTCTGTATTATTCATATGTCTCTCTTCAGCTCGACTCACCGTAACTGAGTAGTGCTGAGAATAAACCCGTAATCGAATTACTAAAACACTCTCTCCTAGGTAAATTTAAGACGAAGTTCAAGACATAAACTATTGATGTTTTAATCCAAATGAGGAGTATCATCCAACATATTATGTTCCATACAAATCGTTCGATAAGCATACCGAAAGCATAAACTATCGGAATAGGTCGTAAAAATAAGGTGTCAGATGATACAACTTCAAAGTCCTTAATCTCATTTTCATTGAGGATAATTCCATATGTTTCAATAAAGGCAGGAACTTAATAAAGGAATCTAATCTGTTTGAAGACGTTACTCAAAATACTCTTCGGGGACTTAACGGGAATGCCTCCAGTTTGGATTATGTTCTCACTAAGAAGGTGGTATTTATTCCATACCGGTTATCTTATATCCAAACAGATGTATAGATTATGTTATGATACCGTCTAACACTTATCCAGCAGAACCTCTAGTTGAAATAATTTCGTACATAAATTATCATGATATATGCTAAGATGGCAGCATCACAACACAAAAAATCCAAATGTTGATCTAAAACTCCTAAAGCTGAACCGTTTCGAGTCGTTGGTACTTATGCATTAGTTTGACCAATATAGACTATACTCTTAGAAGTACAGTTAGCTACTGTATGTCTCCAAAGTGTACTGTCACATAGTCCAGCCCTTTGGATTTTGGATAAAGATATGTTTATGGATTTCGTTCTCGGAAAATAATTAAAAAATATTAGGAATATGATGTCAGAAAACAACAACCTAACTTTAAGATATAAAAAGTCATAATCTTCAATCCGCTGAACGATAGATGCGTTTGTTCTAGGGTTGTGAGATTGCTAGGACCACCAGGTATCACGTTACAAAGCAGTGGTCTGTTGAGTCGTAATGCAGATTTTAAAAGTAAAAAATAAAGAAGCAGAGAAAACATAGAAGCCGAAGCGAATATATACTTATTTTATTGATTAGATAATTAAGAAAGTAAATGCGCAGAGATTTACACAAAAACGACATGTGGATGGAGATGACAAGATACTAGATGGTCTGTCCTGTGACTAATAATGCAAATAAATAAGATTAGTGATGGAAAAAATATGAAGCGTAATTTAGGATTGCTAATAAATGAGCAGAGTGTTTTCCTATGAGTGAGTATCAGCTGACGGACGGTAAATCATAGGTATGTCTAATTTCCTCACTAATCTGTTTAGTTGGGACTGTAAGAGGACACTCCGGGCAAGCAAAATACGTAATCAGAAAACGTACAACTTCACATACGTGCTATCCGCTTTACGTATTGAAACAACAGGCAGGAAGAGTAAAGAAACCAATCAATTTAAACAGGTTAGTCACAAAGATTTTGGATATGCAATTCATCCTGGGTTGCCTCATCAGGCACAATGCTGAGTTTAAAATTGGAACCTTTTTGAGTTAACGTGAAGTAGTTACTATTCTGTGCACTTATCGAGTCGTATTCATTTTTCTGTGATCTAGTACTAGATCACTCATGTGAGTGCACTCACATGCATGCAGTATACGGTGTTGGAGTCGCCCGTCATATGGCCCGTCTCTTTGTCTCACGGGTAGCCTTTCAGTGCACTTCCATCATTTTTCAAAACGACTCGTGGATTTTTGAAGAGAGGTGGTGGGAAGGTGTTGTGAGGTTCGTAATGTGGGCAGATGTAGGTCTTAAGTGGTGCCAGGAATTAAAAGTCACCGTACTTAGTTGTATTTAGATGAAGCTAATAACTGACTGGTATGAAGTCCTACATTTCAAACAATTTCCTTATTTTCCTCAAAGTTCCTTACACAAACGATAAATTTACGCATTTTAAACAGTACTTCAGAAGTCCGCGATCTCGTTGTCATGGTTTGGAATTCAAGGTAACAATATTCAGTATTTTTGTGACAATGTATCAGCTTACGACTAGCCAGATGACACTTTATGTACGAAATAAGAATGGATCGTGTTAAATATTCAGTTCCTTTTTCAGTTGCTTGTAAAAACTGATTAACTATTTTGTGCTCATTTCTTTTTTTCTGTATGGTACTGAGTACTCTCTAATGAGTTTGAAACCTAGGAAGGAAAAAGAGGGAAAAAGTGGTCCGGCTACTCATCCAACGCACAAAGTTCGCCTGTAATTATTAGGAGAGGCAGCGAAAAACATCAATAATGCAAACATTGGGTTATAACGATCTGAAAGTCGGAACTAGAAGTAGATAATATCGATTTTTAAATCCGCTACGGACTAAATTATTTAGTTTTTTGCGTCCATTTCCCGGTTTTAACGTATGAAAGGTATTATTTAACCCATTTTATCAGTACATTTGTTTTCTAAAGCTGACCAGCAGCTTACACATTTGTGGAAGCCCAGTATGGTATGTTCAGCCACTCATTTCCCGTATCTTGTAAATATACGCCAGAGATATTAAAGTTATTCATGAAAATATTGTATAGGTTAGGTTACGTTTCACCATCGTATCTGGTAATAAAAACGTTTGAAGGTCTCTGTAAACTTCTACTGTACTCAAGGTAGCCTCAAAACTCATAGGACAACTTAATTTTTAGCAGCTAAAGACTGACTTGGTTTGCTTATTTGTGATTTACTCCGTATGTTTCTGTTTTCTGCTTTACTATGCTTACTATAGTATAGTGGATATATCCACTTTCATCATACTACACAAAACTCTTTTATTAATTCTCAGAAACATATTTTGCCAGTACAAAACCAAACGAATATGTGACGAATGAATTTTAAAAGATTCGTCACTGTTTGCTTCGATTTGTGATTTAGCCTAATATATTTGGAAATTATTATTATCCGACTCTTCCGTATTTAGTTCATATCCAGAATATTTCTCATTCTATTGATTTAGAATTAAAACTTCTTCGGGTTTTATGGTCTGGATCTTACTGCCGGTCATTTTCTTCCATTAATTTGTGTATCACTAACATTTTTTGAACAAGTTGGTTGAAAATACAGACAACATGTCGCCTCAAGTGTTTATCATTCTACGAGAAAACTCTCGTTTCATAAGGACATTCGCCGTCCTTTGAGTTGAACTTGAAGGCTTGTCCTCTACGTTTTGTTGACCTATTGGGAAAGAGAATAGGAGGTAACTGAAGCCAAAGGTTATTTCTCTGCACCATGTGCATCATGGATGGTTTAAATGTTTCGAGTGCATGTGAGCGTAATAAAGACTTTTACTCAACGGGCTCCTGAGAAGTAACATACACCACTTAACCCGATAACGAATTTCTGTATATGACTACTCGTAAGAAGTAAACGGTGTGCCTGCGTTCCACTCCGCTAGTTCATTTCTCTAGTTTCTGCGTGGTACTTCTGAGGTAGGTTTTATAGCTGAGCCTATGTAAGTATTTTAAAGCGTCCATACTAGTGCCTAGCAGTTTGCAAGTCACCAAATAGCCATAGTTCAAAAAGAATTAGTGATTTGAGCTGTATTCCGTAAGGTTTGGATTTGAGTCCTCGAAATGATTCTCCGGCTCGCGTTTAAATACACTCCGAAGTGTTCTAGTTCTTTTTGAGTGAGAGAGAATATAGCATTATTAATATTATTATTATTCATGAACAACTAAATCATGCATAACTGTTATGCGAAAACCATTTGGGTTTGGGCACTCTGGATCCCTAGAAATCACTTGACAAACGTCTCATTCTTGTTATTTTATCTTGCAAACTTGAATTTCCTAATTTTGTTCATAAGCGCCCATTTTTACTTTCGAATTGTACTTCCTACTTGGAAGGACCCTAAGTGTTATTGGTTCATTTCATCTTTTGATACGCTATTTTGTGACGTCTCACAAGGACATTTTTATGCTGTATATATACGACTGAGTTGTGTGTTTGTTGTTTACGCTTTTTGTTGTTTACTTTTTGATAGTGTCCCCCAGATTACTTACCAGACTTCTAGTAAACACGACGTAGGACAAACCACATGTCCTATATATGTGTTTTCGACTATCTATCACAAGGATGTTGAAAAAGAAGGGAAAATGACAGGAAACAGGACAGGCAATCTCCATAAGTGGTGAAGATGAGTTGTTCATGATGGAGTAACTAAGGTGCAATTGTAGAATTATGGTCTAGGTTCTTTATTAGTACTACTATAATGATAAACCTAATCCTAAGACTACGGATTCGTCACGAAGTGACTATCTAATCTATGAGATCTTACGTGGAAGTCCCATCTTGTCTACCCTGACTCGTCGTATCGTGGGAATCAGCAGTATAACGTCCAGCACTTTTAAAAAACACATTTGGGCTAAAGAGAGAACAATGTATTTAATGTAAGTAGAGACACGTTATACAGAATGACCACGTCTGCGACGCTGAACAACGCCATCCGATCGAATGAATGTTCCCGCGTTCACCACTGTCGGCTTTCTTTCTGTGTTAAATGTTGAATATTAACTTCACCAGTTATCTAATGTTCAGCTTTTAGGATTGTGTGGTTAGAATTATTATAACTACATAAGTATTAAGACTTAACCCCTGTAATCAAGTCAATTTTCAAGCAAATGGGTTTTGATGAGCTAAAGAACATTAGCCTAAAGTATGGTAACAGATGGATGAAGGAATTTATAGATGGGGAATTTCCAAAAGAACCGAAAGCTTAGGATTAAGTAGATATCTAGAATAAAGTAAGAAAAACACTGAGGTACGAATATAAGTTATTGTATATACCGTACACAGACTTGAAAATAAATCATTGACTTAGTAAGATACAGAAATAGAATAAGAGTCTAAGTAGTAATAGCTTAGAATGATTCCATGAAGATTTCGATTAAAAGTAGGAAAGGATCATGAAATATCAAGCTGTAGGAATCATATTTACGTGCTGAAAATAAGTTTGAAGAGTTCATTTGTTTCAATGAGTGTTATACGATGTTTCGCTTTCTTAATCTGGGATTCTAGGAGGCTAGAACCAAAAAATCTTGAGTGCGCATGGAGACCTACCAAGATAATGAAGATAATAAGTATGAAGATGTTGCTTCTTTGATTTGTCAACCAAAGAATATACAAGAGAGAGAGTGTCTCGATCTAGATTAGGGCCTTGACGCGATAGGCCGACGGTCTAACACTTTGGCTGGAAATACGTGAGTACGAATTGGAACTAGCGGCTCTGGGTAGGGGTACGAAAAACTGCTTTATAAACTGACTAACAAGAGAGACAGAGAAATGTAGAATTATAGCCTAGTTCAATATTGTTACATTTAACTTTTGTTACTCTAATAACAGACCAAACCCTAAAATTGTGGATTTCTCATGACATGAATACCTAATTTATAAGATCTTATGTGAAAGTCACACCATTGTCTACTCTGACTCGTCCTGTCGTGACGTTCGGCAATATGGTGTCCAGTATTTCTAAACAACACATTACAGCCGGAAAGGGAGTAATATATTTAATACAAAAGGCAAGGAATGACCGCGCTCACTTGACAGATCTATGATTTTCGATTTCTTGTTGCCGTTCTCACCATTGTTGACCTTCTCCAAGTGTTACACGCTGTATGTAAATCTTTTCGGTATTTATCTCCATAGCTTCAAAGATCTTGTGGTTATGAACTAATGCCACTACAAAGACAATACCTTATTTATTTTCGATTCCCGGTTCAGATTAGTGTAAAAATATACGTGAATAAATAGATGAATAACATGATCACAACGCACAAATAACTAAAACATAGAACTACGTCTGAAAAGGGGATTAGGGTAGAAAAATAAAGTACCAACAGTTATATTCATATTAAAACTGCTTTGGAACAAAAAGGGATATGGCGGTTAATCGTACATCAAATGAAAGTCTATAGTTTACATAATAAATTTGGGACAAAACCAAATGTTACTATGTCGTTCTCATAGGTAACCCTCGTTCTGTTGATAAAATGAAACAGGTCAGTAGTGAATAGGTCTTTATTTAGCACATTGTGGAGCAGGAGGTTACCTGTTAAAACATATAAAGCTCTTCAACATACAAGATAATAGGAAATATAATGCCTATGCAAAATAAGGAAGTGGATGAATTCTTCAGCTGTATTGTGTTGACATATACTTAGCTGTTTGAGGTCGACTCTTCAATAATCAACCTAAGATGTTACAACTATGTTAAAACCTCTGAATATGGTAAAATACCATCCCCTTTCTCTGTTTTTCATGAATTTTTTCGTTTTGCTGTTTACATTAACTTCCCTCTTGAAAACATGTTATAGCTTTCTCTTGTCTGAGCGCATAAGTGAGGGAAATTATCTAGTTTTGTGCTCTATGTAAGACAACCGATTTGGTTGACTAGAGTTAACACAAAAAGAAAAACACACTACTTAAAAGCGATAGCTTAGTTGTTGTCATCGATACCGTCCCTCAGAAACATATGCTCTTTCTTGCTAACTCGGAGAATATCCGGTCTTCCGTATTTTCGTATGATTTTCTAATGGGATTTTGTTCTTGTTCTGCACTCCTCTGAGTCGCTGAACCTCCTATATCGAAATCGACCAGAAAGATTTCCAACACCGAGCTCATTTTCTCAGTTTTCTGTAAAGTGCCGAAAGTTTCCAGTATGTGATTGGCATGATTTATCTACCGTTGACTTTTGACTTCCAACACATACATGACATTACTCCGTCTCTCAAGTATACGCCCACTGATACAATGTGAAGATAGACGTATACTCTTTGGTTGTTTGGAAATATGCTGTCTCACCCTACGATAATGGTTACACTGGGTCCCCATCTTTCAGTTTCCTCTTCTAGCGCTATGTTACTTTGGTTTTACGGCATCAGAAGCGGTTTTAATTTTTCTAACAAACATAATTTTAGCCCGAGTTAAT